CCCCAAAACCCCAAAACCCCTGCACGAAAAATTCTTCAGTCAATTAAATAATTTGGAAAATTATAATAAAATTTACTAGCAATTTTAAAGTTAAAAATCTTTCAACGTTTCTTTATCTTTGTTTTATATTTCAGTAATAAGTAATTCCCATGATATGCTTATATTTTTGACAAGAAATATCAACGAGTTTTGAAATCCTCATCAACTTATGGCATTTTTTTCTTTTAATTAATAATAATCTTACCAGCCTAATCATCATTTTAATACACTTAGAGCCCTTTATTACTTTGATTGTTATTTTAGACATATCTTGGCCCAGAATGTACTTTAAAAGGATCTTCATTTTTAATTAATCCAATATCAAGAGCCTTGTTTTACATGATGTTCATTATTTTCTCATTTAAATTTATATTTGAGTTATAATCGCTGATAGGAATTAAGGGATTAGACTGGGGTAGATATATTTGTTATTAAGAAGAGGATCTAATATTTTAATTCTTTTGTAACGATTCTTGCAATTATTTCCATTTCTCATATGTGTGTATTTCATCAATTTTATTAAGCTCAGTATTAAGATTTTAATACATGAGATTCTTAACACCAATTGGTAAATTATTGACTCTTAGTAAAGGTTATTACTGCTGATTCTGAAGTTTGTTTCTAAACATTGAAGTGTTATCAAATGTTCTCATTGATTAGTTATGCAACTAATCAAAGGATGATTAATGACTTGACTTAAATTATTCCTTTTAGGGTGAAGATATCTGATTGTCAGTAAAGTACTATTTTTTATTCAATGAGGAAGATTTAAATTGAGTGGAATTGTTAAATGGAGATTTACTCGGCGAATAGTCAATTACTAATGATCTTTACTCACTTGGTAAATCTCTAGTTGTATTGTCTAAGTTTTTTTATAATGCTCATTTTAGAAATCGTTTTAGATCCTATATTTCCTCAGCATTTTATTTTATTTAGTTTTGAAGTTCCTAGTATTAATTTGAATTCTTTAGTTTTATTTATGTATGATCTGGAGTTAGATTTTATTTGAGATTATTTCTTGATTTTTCTCGATCCATTGGTATTTGAAGGAAATTCATTTTCTTCTGAAATATATCCAACTCATCCTTGATAAACGATCTTTTGAGCATTTCACTTGGAGTAGTTGTACTTTTTAAGACCTCGGACTCATCTATTTCATTAATATATGATCTGTTTAACTCAGGTAACGTCAAGGTATTGTTTAATGCCTTATTTAAATTGTTCATAGTTAATCGTGAATTCACTTTCCTATCAAATATGGATGAAGCTTAGGTCTCAACTGCATCACTTTCGATAGTCGAACCAATTTTTTCTTATGAACCCTTATTATACGATATCACGAGTTTCAATTTCAAATCTTAGTTTTCCTTCTTAAGTTAATCAATCTAACTTCTCAATATCATTTTATCATCTAAAGACATGTTAATCCTGCTAAGACTATCCCTTACAACTTATATCTCTTTGTTTTTCTTTAATAACTCTTACAGTAAATTAATTGTAGTGCTTGACATCTTCTATCCATTTTATATAGCTTTAGATATCTCTTCAATCATTTTATTCGAATCTGTTTCATTAATGTAAGACCTGCTTTAATTTAATTTACTCTCTCTTTAGTTTGAGATTATTGAGTCATAGTTGTGCTCCTTCTTTATATTTTTATAAAGTTTTCTTATGCTATTTACTGATTATGTCTTATAGTCATTATAATCTGAGGATATAAAGGTGCTATTCAAATTGTTTTGGCCAAAATTATTCCTTCTTTTCTATTTTTATAGGTCCTTAGTCAACGATTTATTTCTTTACTTTAGCCTTTCAATGAGAAGCATATTTTGATCTACGTTCTTAATGGGTTTATTCTTAATATTGTTAGTCTTCATGGCATAGTTCAAAGTTTACATATTTTCATCAAAATTTTCATCACTCGGAGAGATACAAGCAATCATAAGACAGTATGCATTGCCACCTAGACTTTATCTTAAGATAGAAGTTAGTTTGCACTCACGATAAGGAACATGCTTTTAGGTTGAATTGTTGTCATTACTGTTTGTTTCTAATGCTCCCATACATTTCCTAAGGATCATTAGAGATTTATTAATTCCTATGGTCTCTTTTTAAGACTGTTTATCATTAATATCCTATATTGACATTCTTTCACTTCCTGCTAAATCTACTAGAAACATTTTTGAAGAAGTCAGAACTTTAGGCTAACCATCACTATAATCATCATCAGTTGTTTCATAGGATACTTGATCAACTTAAATACTAAAAATACAGTGTGATCTACTTGAAGCATGATTCATGCTATGAGATGATACTATCTTATTTTTAATCCCTTGATTAAATAAAGTGACTGCTTCCTTGTCATCATTACATTCAAATAGGTAGAGATTTTCGACTTGGAATTCTTATTTTTAATTCTATCTTACTTTTAAATCAGCTTAGTTTTGAATATATCTTTTACCTGCTCCACTACCACGGGCTTTATCAAAGTTTAGTAAGTCATAAATCTTTTCATTGTATATTTAAAAGAACGAGACGTAGAAACGAAACCTATCTCTCAAATGATCTTTAAGTTTTCCTCTCTGTTTGTAAAATTCTCTAATGGTGCGAATAGCTACTCCCACATTCTCATTATCGGCAATAATTGGAGTCAAGTGATTTGTCGATCTGCTACTGGAAGAAAATTCATCCAGATTTGCATACTCATATCCCTCCATAGTGTAAGTTTTCCCCGAGCCTGTTTGGCCATAAACGAATATTGTAGAATTATAACCCTACATTTAATTAAGCAAATTGAAAAACACGATATACACGGAAAAAGTGTTCTTACCTCGATAACTTTTTTTACAAGATAATTGACCTGTAACTAATCAAATATCTACTTTTGATAGGATGCTTGTCCAAAAACTTTGTCAAATTGATATTATTTTTCCTCATGCTTATTGTTACTCGAGTTGAAATACCCATTGACTGGAGGAGAAAATAACCTATTACAATGATAAATAAAAAAAAACATCATACCTAATAACATTATCTTTATCATTTAATTTAAGTCTTGTGGTTCTATGGCCTTTATTCAATTCAGATTCAATTAAAGGCCTTACTCTAATGGCTACCTTTATATTGCAATTTGAGTTAGATGCTTAGGCATTTGATTGCTTCATCATTATTGCTATAGATTATAAAATTTATTTAATAATCAAGCAGCTAATCTCTTATTACAGTAGTCCATTATTAGTAATAATTTCAAGAAATAAGAACATAATTTTTTCATCAAATATTCAAGTATTTAGTTACTATGGGGTTTTGGGGTTTTGGGGTTTTGGGG